TTTTGGGCTCTACCGTTCGCTAACCTGCTGGTTGCAAGATCTTTCCCTATGCATCTACCTTTCTCGACGCAATTGGAGCAGTCTTTAGTATAGAATTCGTCAAATACATTTCTTCCATTTCAGAAAATCTCCGGTCATATTTCGTTCCGTAACGTCTACTTCAATTATCCGACAAGAAGACAGATCAGAGTACTCCGTGGACTTAATCTGGAGGTAACTATAGTGTTTGTGCTTACCGTATTAACATACTTTTACCTTTGGAACTCACATGTCTTACAACGACGCAACAGGTTTGTAAATCATTGTGCTTAGCATGTGTGCAACATGTTTTTTGGGGTTCCCTGTTTCAGATAAATCCGGGCACGACGGTAGCGCTCGTTGGACAATCTGGTTGTGGAAAAAGCACTGTGATGGCGTTGTTGGAACGGTTTTACAATCAAAACAAGGGCGTTATAGCGTTTCACCTGAAGCTTGTCCAACTTGGGTGTTATTTACTCAAGTTCACGCCGTTTGGGGAATTTGCTCTTGCTGTATTGTTTTTTTTTGGATCCTTAGGCTCTGAGGCTGAGGCTGTCTTCGAATATTTTGATTAAATGTAGACCAATTTAATCAAAATATTCAAAGCGAGTAGTCGAGCTATGTACTTTATTTTCAGACGGTTGACGGCGAAAATATCAGAAACATGAACATACGCAATCTTCGTGAGCAAGTGTGTATTGTTAGCCAAGAACCAAAATCTTCGTGAGCAAGTGTGTATTGTCAGCCAGGAACCAACGCTGTTTGACTGTACCATCATGGAAAACATCTGTTACGGACTCAATCTTCGTGAGCAAGTGTGTATTGTTAGCCAAGAACCAACACTGTTCGACTGTACCATCATGGAAAATATCTGTTACGGACAATCTTCGTGAGCAAGTGTGTATTGTTAGCCAGGAACCAACGCTGTTCGACTGCACCATCATGGAAAACATCTGTTACGGTCTCGACGACCCCAAACCGTCCTACGAACAGGTTGTTGCTGCAGCAAAAATGGCGAATATTCACAATTTTGTGCTGGGACTACCAGAGGTGAGTGGATTTTATCTGCGGGTATTCCCACGATATTGACGAAACCCTTAGAGCAATTACCCGGAGGGGCTTTGGACATTTTCTCGCAACACGTTGGACATTTGCTCTGTTTCAGGGTTACGATACGCGTGTTGGTGAAAAAGGCACTCAGCTGTCAGGCGGACAGAAGCAACGAATAGCCATAGCCCGAGCGCTGATTCGAGATCCGCCTATACTTCTGCTGGATGAAGCAACAAGCGCTCTGGACACGGAGAGTGAGAAGGCACGGTTTGATTGTCGCGTTGAAATCTTGGCCAGAAGTGGTTGAACGTAGCCAAGACGAAAAGCCAATAGTCTGCTGGCCATACTCGACCACCCATTATTCTCTCCAGTAATATTAAGAAAATATTATATTTTCAAGTTTCGCCACAAATTGTTTTGAATTCTTTGTTTTTTTTCGGAAGTGAAGGTGGTTCGTAGCCTTCCTAGCCTAAGAAATTGCTCGTATTGATGTAATCTATAACGCACTTTTTGCTAGGAAACACTGGAATTTTGAATTAAGCTGAATATTGACGAACATGGCTGAAATAGAGTTGAAAGGCATGTAGCTAAGGCTGTTTGAATGATACATAATTAGATTTCTAGCTTTGCTTGTCAATATCGAGCCCATTAGAGATTTCAGTGATCCATTGTTGTCGAGTCGAAA